TCCGAGCCTAGATCTGATGCAATGCATTGGGGAGTGTGTGTGTGTGTGCACACGAAGGGGGGATATGAGGTCAGTGTTCACCCTCAGCCCACGTTCACCCTCTTGCCATGCACTCCACTGAGGCCAGTTGCTCTAAGGTTGCCAACTCTAGGTTGGGAAGTTCCTGGAGATCTGAGGGGTTGAGGCTGGGGAGCAGGGCCGGCCTGAGGTTTTTTTGCACCCTAGGCGGGGCTACCTTCTGGCGCCCCCCGCACACCCTATTATGGGGTTGCCAACCTCCAGGCAGAGCCTGGAGAGAAGGAAGTCCTACTTCTCTCCCCCTTTAGTCGAGCGAGGAGGCGGCGGCGAGGTTTCCGGGCACTCAAACCCAAACACCCCACATTTGGATTTACAAAAGCCGACCCCAGGCGGAGGGGGAAGGCAAGGCGGCCTTACACTCCCCTTTCGCGCCCCCCATGCCACATGGCTGGGAGCAGCAATAGCACACGGGCTTCTGGCGGGGGGGGGAGGCACAGTTCGGTACCCCACACAGGGCCTGGTGCTCTAGGCGAATGCCTAGTTCACCTAGTGGGTGAGCCGGCCCTGCTGGGGAGGGCAGGATATAATGTCACACAGTCTTCCCTCCAAAGCAGACATTTTCTCCAGGGGAACTGATCTCTCTTGCCTGGAGTATAGGGTTGCCAGCTCTGGGTTGGGAAATACCTGGAGATTTTTGGGATGGAGCCTGGGATGGTCAGGGTTAAAAGGGAGGGGAGGGATCTCAGCAGGGTAGAGTCCACCTTCCCAAGCAGCCATTTTCTCCAGGGGAACTGATCTTGGTCATTTGGAGATTAATTGTAACAGTGGGAGATCTCCAGGTCCCATCTGGAGGTTGGCAACCCTAGGTGCTACCCTAAAGCACCCTTACAGCTCTGGGGCCCACACAAGGCCTGCTCCCCCCACCCCCTGGCTCTCACTGTGCTTCACCTGGACAGCTAAAACTCTGCCAGGGCCAGGCTAGGGGGTGTGGGCCAAGGCGGATGTTCTCCAACCCAGGCCCCCTGACCTCAGTTCCTGGCCTGCTGGGTATGTCAGCTGCTGATCTGACCATGGACAGTCCCTGTTTTTGTTTGTTAAAATGTTCATAACGTGAGATGCTTGCACAGTCAGTCTTCAGGTGCAGGACAGGGATCCCCTGGAATTACAGCTCATTTCCAGACTACAGAGATCAGTTCCCCTGGAGAAAATGGATGCTCTGGAGGGTGGATTCTGTGGCACTGTCCCCAGGCTCCCTTCCCAAATCTCCAACCTGAATTTGGCAACCCCACCCCCCCATCCCCTGCCGGTGGCTAGGGGGAACCTGGCAACCCTAGGTTCAGCTCCATCCCTAAAGGATTGTCTTTCTTGATCTGGGGGCCCCTGGGGTCCAGAAAGGTACTCCAGGTGGTCCTTGAGTCCTTCACAAGGACAAAGGGTGCACCCCCCTCATACTTGGAAAAGGAGCCTGCTCAGTTTTCTAGGAATGGGACAGGGATTTTTGACCTTGGGGAAAGGGGTGGAATTGTCTTCCCCCTCTTTCAGAAACTGGGAAATCATAGAGCTGTCAGTGCCTGCAGTTGGCGAGCTCTCAGATCCCCAGAAAATGTGCTGATTGGCTGCTGGGAGCCAGAAGCTTGGTGCTAGGCGTTCTGATTGGTTGAGTGGGCCCAAAGAGGTACAGTCTTAACAAGGTCAACGCAATTCCTTCGAGCATGAAATGAAACTAGTTCTCATTCTCTTTTCCAAAGCAAAGGCTTTCTCCATAGCTATAAAGAGAGACACCCACTCTGCATCCGCAGACAATAATAGCCAAGGGCTGTATTCAATTGAATACCTAAAGTCCCGGTTTTGTTTAATGCTGCGGGTTTTTTTCTTTCTATTTCTGCTTCTGTTCAACTGGCCTTTGCCAAGAAATTATTCCTTGCTTTCTCCAGTCTCTTTCAATCCAGGGGTGAAATTGATTAGGATTTGGGTCAGGGCCTTTTTGAGTCGTGGGTGTATGGAATTGGTGGCCTTCTCAGGCCTGACTTTAGTCAGACAAAGCAAACGTTTACGGACACTTGCTTTTCAAACAACAGTTGACAGGGTTCTCACCGTATTGTCCTGAGGACACCGAGGGTCTCCACTTGCTGCACACTTTAAAGGGTGGGGGGTGTTTCTGGCACGTGGGAGATGCCAAAGAAGGGGAGGGCTTGTAGGTCCTCAAAAGCTGTTACATGAAAATCCGGACACCCCCCAGCCCCCCAGTTGCTAACGTCTGAACATTACAGCTCTGGAAATTAAATCTCTGAGAGGGAAGTGGCGATGCATGCATGCTATGGATAGAGCAGGGGCCGGCTCCAGCTTATTTTGCACCGTAAGCAAGGATCCCTTCTGCCCCCCTCCCCGCCCGTGCGCCCACCAATTTTCAAAAATAAATGCATTTTAGGAAGAATGAAAAACACAAATAATCAAGAAACTCCCAGAGTACGGGGCCGGGTGCAGTTTGGTGCCCCTAAGGGCCGTCCCGCTCTAGGCGATTGCCTAGTTCGCCTAGTGAGTGAGCCGGCCCTGGATAGAGCAGGGCCCCCCAATCTGGTGCCATGGCCCCCACCAACACCTTTTATGGCACCCGACTTTTAGGAAATGGGTGGGGCCAGGTGGGGCTTTTGCCCAGCAAGGCTTCTGACTGACTATCGAAGATGTGATTGACTGTGCAGATTTTTTTAAATGTTGCTTTGGCAGCAGCTGCCACCACAGCACAAGGACCTACACTGTGTTCCTGAGGTTAAGCTGTGGCCATCGTTTTGTGGCTCGCTCCGCCTCCTGCAGCAGCCATTTTGTTGCTGCGCCCACCATGCCGTGTCAGGATTCCAGATGTGCCTACAGGCTCAAAAAGGTTGGGGTCCCCTAAGCAATGCTCCCGCTAAGCTGTGGAGTCTGGTGAGCAAAAATTCTACTTTGTGAGCTACTGGCATTAAAGTTGTGAGCGAGTGATTTGGCTGCTGCATAAATTAGGCTGCTCTGGGGCTATCCTTCCTGGGCTAAGACAAAAATGTGTGAGCCGGAGGCTAAAAAACTGTGAGCTAGCTCACACTAACTCAGCTTAGAGGGAACACTGAGTCCCCTAGTATAGAGCAGGCACTTTGACATAAACATGCCGTAATGAACTCTAAGGCTCTGTACAGAGTACAGCCTGGCATTCCATGTACCCTGCAGCTGCTGCAGTGTATTTTGTACTCCTGATAACATGTGTCGGGACTATTGTGCTTCTCTAGTATCTCATCCGCCAAAAGGGTTGTCTTGGTTATGAAACCAGTGGAGGATGGAGGATAGACAGCTGCAGAGTCAATGAATACAGAACAGGGCAGATGGAGCAGAGCTTTCCTCGGTGCAGGCTGCGTTTATCTATGAACTTGCAAAGGGGTCCTTGCAATGAATGTTGGATTGGACAATCAGGTCCATCTCTTCATCTGTGAAAGGCTGAAAAGTGCAGTGCAGTAGGCAAAAGATACTGCCCAGCTGGGAGGGGCCGGTGGCTCAGTGGCATGGCATCTGCTTGGCATGTACAAGGTCCCAGGTTCAATCCCCGGCATCTCCAGTTGAAAGAACCAATAGGAGGTGATGTGAAAGACCTCAGCCCTGAGACCCTGGAGAACCACTGGCAGTCAGAGTAGGCAATACTGACTGTGACAGACCAAGGGTCTGATTCAGTGGAAGCAGGGGTCCTTTCGTAGAAAAAGAGGTGCAGGAGCTCATTAGCATAACTTATTAGCATAACTTATTTGCATATGCCACACCCCTGACATCACCGGAAGTGTGTCAGAAGGCAACACCCACCACTCAGGCTCCACTGGGCTGTTCTTGATTGCTAGCTATTTGGGGGGGGGGGAACGTGCAGATCTGTCCTCGCAGAGGAGGGAGAGCTGGTACCTGAATAAAACTTGGTCTTAAAGGTGCCACTGGACTGTTTTGGGTGGGGGGGGGGCTCTGCAACTTACCTGGTTGCTTCTTACTCTGACTGAGGGCTTCTGGGAGCAGGGGGTGGGGCTTGTTGCATGTGCCCGCCCCCTTGACTCTTTACTGCCGGAGCTCTGCTCCTGTGCGCTCCTGCAGGAAATGACCCCTGAGTGGAAGGCAGCTTCATGCGTCCACATTAGCTGACCAGGCCAGGGCAAAAAGCATGACCGATCCAGAGATTCCATACTGCTAGCCAATCCATGAGGCAGATGTTGCACACCCCTCTTTCCTTTGGCTTCTTCCTTTGGCTTCTTCAGGGCACATTATCTCAGCTCCTGAGACTTTGCATCACTACCAGATCCTTGAGAGAACAGAGATCTCTGGGATATTCCCCATGAAGCTCTCCTTATCTCATTTGGAGGTGGGAGAGAGGTGTTTGTATGGTATGCTTGCTTCAATTAACTCCAAGAGAGGAACCGAACACTTTCACATCATTTATCAATGCATTACTTCCTCTCCAGTGTATCAAAGTTTTCCTACCCAGGGGCAGCTCAACCGCAGAGGCAAACCAGGCCATGTCCCAGGGGACCAAAATCCCTGGAGAGACTGTCTCAGTTGTGTAAACACCCTTGGGAAGAGAGCCAACGTCTAGGTATCCCTTCTTTCAATGCAGGATTGTAGGAGAAAGCGCGATGCCACTCTACATTAGTGGTGGTGTCTGGGAATCAGGAATCCAGATTAACCAACAGGAAACAAAATAGTGTGATAGGGAAGTTCCAGGATATCAAACGTGAAAATAAGAAAAGTGTGTCTCGATCTGCTCTTGCTCATTTAACGTGCTCTGGTTCAGGTGATCAGAGTACAACAGGATACAAGGAGGGTGATGAGAAAATGTACCAAGGTTTTAATTTGTTGGGGGTAGGGGGGGAAACTTTGCCCCAAGCGGCTCCTCTCGGAGAGGAGAAAGTAAATGCAGTTTCAAAGGGAGAAGGAGGTGGGTCGGTCAGGAGATATCAACTAACCCCGTCTTTCTTTCCTGCCAGGATTATCCCTGCCAGCGGCCGCCATTTTGTCCTGAAGCACCTCGTGCCCAGTGTGGATTACGACCTGTGCGTCTTGGCCATCTTCGATGACATGGCCACATCCCTGGCAGCCACACACTTGCTGGGCTGTGCCCAGTTCACCACAGGGGAGGCCTACCCAGACTGCCACGCCCTCCACGCCCACTTCCTGGGCGGGACCCTGACGGTGATTGTGGGAGGCATCATTGTGGTCACCTTGCTGGTTTTCACGGTGGTCATGATGGTGAAGTACAAGGTCTGCAGCAGTGCCCACGGGAGCCTGCCCAAGGTCACCAATGTCTACTCGCAGACCAACGGCGGGCACCCCAACGGCCTGCTCCCCCAGCGGACGCCCCCCAAGGAACGGGGCCCAAAGCACCGGCGCGTGCGAGTCAAGGCTGCTCGGTCTGAAGGACCGGAGCACAGGACGGGGGACGGTACAGGGGGAGCGGCCTGGAGGTCACCCGTCCCCACCAAGACCAAGCGCAGCAGCTCCCTGGACATGGGCGACATCTCGGCCAACGCCTGCTACAGCTACGCCAAGCGCCTCAGCTTCATGTGGAACAAGCGCAGCCAGTCTGTGCACGGGATGCTCGTGCAGTGTGCGGCGGCCCCCGAGGGTGACGCCAAAAGACTCGGGCCCTACTTAAATGCAGACGAACTTGAAGAGAGTGTGGTATAGCCCGCAGCTCGGCTCCCTGGAATAAGGGGAAGGGGAACGAGCGTTCCACCCATGCAGCTAGAAGGGCACGCCAGACTGCAGCCAAAGCCTGTATGAGCAAGGGTGCTGGGGAAGGGTGAGGGGGAAGAGTCCCTCTAACAGATACCGCAGAGGTGGGGGGGGGACTTCCCGACGGGATGCGTTGGATGTACAACGGAGCCTCGTCTCGTCTAGCAACAGTGCCTGTGGGAGCGGCAACAGCGGGCAGTATGATTTGCTGCACCGAAGCACCCACGTCGATTGTGATAAAACCTACAGAGGCCAGGCTGGGTGCTGGATATTCTCCCGAGGAAAGAACGCACGCTGAAGGGTGATGGAGGGAGAGCTGCTCCGATCGGGAGATTGGAAATGCACTTTGTTTTGCTCAGCCTCTGAGTCCAGCGGCTGCCCCGTTCCTTGGCATTTTGGCCTGTGCCGGTGGTTCTCTGGAGTGGTGAGCGGGGAACGTGTCTCCAGAAAGCCCAACGGCAAAAGTTGTGGATGCTGAAATTGATTGTTGTGGAGGGGAAGGGGTGTGTCTTTTTTTAATTTTAATCACTTGGCAAAAGAAAAGAATACTAATAAAATAACCCCGAATTGTCAATGTGATGACAGATGAGATGGGAAAGCAGGTACTGTGAACAGAGATGTGTATAATTTGTGCTAAAAACCGGGCTGGGAGGTGGGGTGGGGGGTATCAGAATTCCACATTGGGGTAACCCAGATTCTGTACCAAGGAAAGCTGGAATTCCACTGTCTGCATAAACTGTGCACATTTGCATACATTTCTTGACTTGGGCATAATTTATTTGGCTGCCGCTGAGTGGTTCAGCGGGGGAAAACGGGATGCAAATCTTCACCAGTTCATTCATCCTCCTAGCTTCTGAGATTTATCACCCAGATATTTTAAAAGGTGACGTTTGCAGCTGTAAGGGCTGCAAAAAAAGAAAACTGGGAGTGGAACTCCCCCCCCCCCAGGACTTGCGATTTCTGCAACGAATATTAATTCCCGTTTCTGTAACGGCAGACTACATGCAGTTGTGAGCACAAGGAGTTTTAGGGTTCAAGCCTGAACGTTCCCTCGGAGCTAAAAAACGGAGGCTATTGTACTTTGGTCGCATTATGAGAAGATAAGACTCATTGGAAAAGACAATAATGCTAGGAAAAGGGGAAGGCAGCAGGAAAAGAGGCAGACCCGACATGAGATGGACGGACTCCCTCAAGGAAGCCACAGCCGTCAGTTTGCAAGACCTGAGCCAGCCTATTAATGGTCCTTCTTTGGAGGTTTTCAAACAGAGGCTAGATGGCCATCGGACAGCAATGCTGATTCTGTGAACATAGGCAGATCATGAGAGGAGGGCAGGAAGGACTGCATCAGTGCTTAGTTCTCGTGGCCCTTTTTTACATGCCCAGAGAAGTGCTGATCGCCACTTTGGGGTCAGGAACAGTATTCCCTCTAAGCTGAGTTAGTGTGAGCTAGCTCACAGTTTTATAGCCTCCAGCTCACACATTTTTGTCTTAGCTCAGGAAGGATGGTTCCAGAGCAACCTAATTTATGCAGCAGCCAAATCGCTTGCTCACAACTTTAATCCCGGTAGCTCATAAAGTAGATTTTTTGCTCACAACACTCCACAGCTTAGAGGGAGCATTGGTCAGGAAGCAATCTTGGAGGTTTTTTGTCATCTTCTGGGTGTGGAATCTTCTGGGTGTGGAACACTGGGTGTGTGGAGGGGGAGGTATTTGTGAATTTCCTGCATTTTACAGGGGGCTAGACTAGATGACCCTGGAAGTCCCTTCCAACTCTATGATTCTATGGTTAAGGAGGTCATTAATTCACCGGGTTGCCATGAGTCTGAAGTGACTTGACAGCACTTAACACATAGACAGTTTTAGGGTTGGATCTTTTGATTCGCTGCCTCTGTCTCCCTCTGACAAAGAAAGGCTTCCTTCAGCAAAGAAAGCCTTCTCTCCATCAGGGGAAGCCTGTGTACATCAGAAAACAACATTCTCCGGCGGAGGAAGTCTTTCTCCCTGGAAGGAAGACTTAGGAGAAGTCACGCTGCAGTAAAGGCTATAAGGTGCCACCGGACTTCTCTTTTATTTAGTAGAAGACAGTCACAGGAGCCAGCTTAGCAGGAGGGGGTCAGAGGGTCCCACCTTTGGGTTTGTACGTCTGAATGAATGCTCAGAGTGGATTCCAGAGGGGGATTATGTGAGGAGGCTATCTTTAGGTTCTGGCTGTCTTGAGGTCTGTTGTCAGAAGCAGGGCAGTCAAAGCCTCGGGGTTAAGTCTCAAAAGATGCAATTGCTATTCTGACCCTCGTGGCAGCGAAGATGTAACTGAGAATATAAACGACGGCAAAAGGATTACTGAGTCAGAAACAAAGTGGGCAAAAAATGAGACTCCACGCTGGGGTGCCTCCAAGATGTTTGAGATCTCAAGAAGGCATATTTCCCTCTGATTTACCCCCCCCTCCTCCACTAAGTGGAGCAGTTCACATCCTGAGCAGAATATAACTGCTGTAATCTTAAAATGGGCAATGAGCAGTGCAGGATCATGAGCGGCTCCAGACTGCTGCTGAGTGGGGCTTCCTGTGTTAATGGACGGCCGCTCACAGGCACAGCGTAGAGGGACCACTGTGCCACCACTGTGCCAACTCTGCTTTTCTCCCTAATGGGGTCCCAGAGCAGCTAACAACCTCACTCTCCGCTATTTTATCCTAACAACCCTGTGAAGTAGACTGGCCCAAGGTCACCCAGCCAGCTTCCATGGCAGAGTGAGGACAACACGGGTCTCACACGCCGGTGGTAAGTCCTACGTCAGCCTTGTCAAAATGAACGGGAGCTGCCCAGAAGCACAGCACAGGAGGACTTCCTGGTGGATCGCGCTCTCTCTGTTGTTTTTCAAGATATCTGGGAAACTTTTCAAAAGGCTGGGTCCTGGTGAAGGTTAACCAGACCATGAATGTGCCTGACAGAACAGCCACTTTAGAACTGGGACATTCCAAATTTGGAACTGTCAGAATGAAAGGCTTGACTCTGCAATCTTGGTGCTTGTGTGTGTGTGTGTGTGTGGGGCAACAGTGGGAAGGCTTCTAGTGTCCTGGCCCCACTGCTAGACCTCCTGATGGCACCTGGTATTTTTGGCCACTGTGTGACACAGAGTGTTCGACTGGATGGGCCATTGGCCTGATCCAACATTGGCTTCTTTTA